CTCAAACTCACAGAGATCCACTGCCTCTGCCTCTTGAGTGCTGAGATCAAAGGCGTGTGCCACCAAGCCTGGCTTGGTTTTCTTTCTCTTTTTCTTAAGACAGGGAGGGCCTCAAGGAGTCAAAGCTGGCCTGTGTGGACCTGCTTTCACCTCCTAAGTGCTGACTGCCATCATCACTCCCGAATAAAAAGGGTCTTCTAAACAAAGTAGCTGACAACAGTGCTGACTTTGAATAGGAATAACACAGTTGTTCCTTAGTGTTATTTAGCTTCCTTAGGACATGCTTTACAGGGACAGATGATGCTCATTTGGGCTCACAGTCCTGCCGGGCCATTGTGGTGCACGTCTTTAACCCCAGCACTCTGGAGGCAGAGGCAGGTGTATCTATTACTGTGAGTTCGAGGCCAGCATGGTCTACAGAGTGAGTTCCAGGACAGTCAGTCACACAGAGAAACCCTGTCATGAAAAACAAACAAAAAGCACCCCCCCCCAAGTTTATAGTCTTGGAACACTACTTATCTATCTGTCTATCCAACTATCTATCTATCCATCCCTCCGTCTGTCTATGGAGAAAGGGTCTCACTGAGTAAGCCTAGCTGGCCTAGCCCTCCCTCTGTAAAGTAGGTTGGCCACACACTTGCAGGGATCCTCCTGCCTCCGCTTTTTGAATCTTGGGATTACTGGCACCTGCCACCATTCCTAGGCAACATTTTTACCCCCAAGATTTGATGTTACTTGTTCCTCTTGAAGGCTCGTTTTCTCCTGGGCTCAGACTCGGAAGCAGAAGCCCCAGTGAGGACAGCCGACGGCCAGCCATCTCTTCCCTGAGCTTTCTTGGCCTTCCTTCATTCTCTAGACCAACCGTCTGTCCTGTCCGCAGCCTCCTCCTCGTCTCCGTGCACTGCGCCTTCAGAGCTTGGGTGTCAGGACTGTGGCATGACAGTGCGGAGCCCCGGGGGCTTTGCTCCTGGCGTCTTCTCTTCTCTGTTTAAGGGCGGCCATGCTGGTGGACAGCATCCTCTTCAGAGAGCTGGGACAGCTCTCAGGTTCTGTCAGCTCTCTGGGGCACTGTCTGTCAGGCCAGGAATCCCCATCGCTCCCCTCCTACAGTCACCGAGGTGAGAACACTCAGATTGGCAGCCAGTCTACTTGAGTCACCACTACCTTAATTACTTTACCTTAATCAGGTTTATTTATTTGTTTGTTTTGGGATTCTAGGTATTAAACTAAGGGTCTGGAGCTTGTTACACATGTGCCCTGCCACTGGGCTGGTCCCCCACCCTAGAAAATTCCGATAATTTAAGATAAACGAAACAGATAGATAGACAGACAGACAGACAGATAAATGTGCTAACTACAGCGCCCTCACAGTGTTCACACCGTCCTTGGTGACCACTTTTAGTCACATGTTTATGGGCAGAAAAGGACGTTATCTTTAAGATTTATTTATTTATTTATTTTATGTAGTGCTTTGTTTTTTGTGCATACCAGAAGAGGGAATCGGATTCCGTTCTTAGTGGATTGTGAGCCACCATGTGCAGCTGCCGGGAGTTGAACTCAGGTCCTCCTAACCGCTGAGCCATCTCTCCAGTGCGAAAATGAAGTATTTAGAAAGCAGCTTCCATCGGAAGACATTTCAGCGATCTGGAAACCCGAGTCTAAGCTAACAGTTTGGCCTTTGGAGATGAATCATTTGTTTTGTTTAGCTCACTAGTGTAGTATTTAGATTAACGTCTGAATTTGTATCGACCTGACAGGAACCAAAGAGCCAGGCCAACCATATGCATGCCATCTCCACGGAGCCTAAAAGGCAGCATGTGGCAAGTAGCACCCCGGCCATTAGGCTGTGACGAATGCTTGTGTGAAGCAATATTTTTACCATTTTATGGACAGAGCAACTGAGGCACCGAGAGGTTAAGTGTCCCATTGCTCTTCAGTAGATTTAGGATTCTGGGTCTCACCACAGCTGTCTAGGATTTTGTGTCCCATCTTAACCAGCTCTGCATGAGGCAAGCTCAGGTCTTTCACGTCTGTACCCAAAAGTCTTTGACAATCTGTCTTGGGAAAGAAGGGACGAGGTTTGCTGGGGTGGGTAGCAGAAGTGTCTGGGAACGAGAGCAGTCCCTGGCCCTAGCTGCTTCTTCTGATCCCTGGAGGCTTCCATCCATGAGGATTCAATCAGCCTCAGCTGGCTGGCTGGGGTGGAGGGCAGGAGGACTGTCAATCTCGGGAAGCTGCGAGCACTCAGGGTCTTGAACTTTATCAGGTTTGGATGTGTGATTGTGAAAGTAAAGAGCAGAAAAATGACAGCACTCAGTAAATCAAACAGAAAAGATCAGGACTGTCAAAGACCAGAGGAAAACAGTCTCTGGGCCCAGATGGGGCCAAAAGCCTGCAGAGAGGGAGAGAAAGACTTTCACACACACCCTGGATCCTGCCTTGTGGAAGACACATCTCTTTCACTGTCTATCTAGAGAGCAGTATTCTTTGTTGAGGTTTGGACCTTGTTTTAGAATACACAGTGGAAGGAGGAGGAAAAGAAGGGCAGAAAGAACACAGGACTGAAGATATTTGGAGTGTCCCAGAACCCATAAGGTGCTCCTGTGGCGTGTCAGAAAGCACTTGCCTAGCATGCATGAGGCGCCGGCTTCTAACCGCAGCACTAAATAAAGAAAACTAAACTGAGCTGGGGAGGTGGGAGCGAAGAAACCCACAAAACAATAATAAAAAATGAAAGTGGGTTAAGTCTACAATGCTGAGTTGATAGGTAAAAAGCTTGAGAAGTGTTAAGGTTAGGTGCAGATCAGTTTAAAGTGCCCACGTCCCTGGTTGCTCTTCTCCATGGCTGCGTGATAATTCCTTCCTCTCTCTCCAGAGAGGAGCTGGCAGGGAGGGGCTGCAGTGGAGGACTGGGATTCTTTTTTGAGGAGCCTCAAGATTGCTATCTCGGTCCTGCAGAAGATGGAGTCTGCTACTTGCATTTGCAAGAGGGGAAAAAAAACCGAGGAATGTTTTCCTCTTCAAAGGCACCAAAAGCCAGCAAAGGACCAATGTTTGTCTCACCCCTCACCTCCTTCCCTACCATAACGCAATAAATAAAGTCCTGGTGCTGGTACACAGAGGGCTCACAGCAGCCCCCAACTCAAATAGGAGTGCTTTCCTGGGAACTCAGGGCGGTTAGGTCCCATACAAAGTTGAGATCTGGTGCAGCGTATGTGAGGTTGTCAGTGAGACCTCTTAGGGCTTGCTATGCGCCAGCATCCTACCAAAGGTTTTAGTCTTCGCAAAGATCCCATGAGGGAGTCCTTCCCACCCTCTCTACCTCCCTCCTCTCTCTCTCTTTCTTTCTTTTTCTTTTTCCTTCTTCCTTCTAGTTTTTTCTTTCTTTAAATCTTTTGTTACGCTTACGTGTGTATGTGCCCACGCATGCACACTTCCCACAGTGTGTGAGTGGAGGTCAGGGAAAAGCTGTGGGAGTTGAGTGTCTCCATGAAACTCAGGTCATTGGCTTGTCCTGTCAGGAAATGTCTTTACCTTTTGAGTTTTTGGAGACAAGGTCTCACTGTGACCTGAGAGTCCTGCCCCAGTCTGAGCACAGTGAGTCCAGGCACAATCAGCACACCCTGCTTTGGTTTTTTAGCTGTTTTACAAAAGAGGGAACCGGGATAGAGAAGAGACGCTGGGCTGGGCGGCTTGCCCTCCTCAAGCAGAAAATAGATGTGGTATTAGGAGGTGGCACAGCAGCCCCAAGCCCTGGGCTAGCCGAGGAGCTCTTACAAACTATCTCAGCCTCTAAGCTAGAGGAAGGAACTCTCAATTTCCAAACCCACTTTGCAGCCCGGAGGATAACTGCAATCTTGAAGTGCCCTTTCAGAGAAAGACAAAGCTTCCCTCAGCCCCCTTCAGGAAGCTGCCTGCGGCTCCACAGGCTCAACCTTCTAGATTGTAGCTGCCTCCTGTTTCTTCTCCCCACAGTGCCTACTCAGGACATGTTGGCGAGTGGCAGGAAGCTGGAGGGCTGCGCAGTGGTAGGCAAACCCTTTGGTCCTAATTCTCTGCATATTTGCAACATAGCTGAATGGAGAGGTCATATTTCTGAGTAGGAACTTTTCTTGGTCACTCCCCTTTCGCGGACTCAAGGATGGCACTTAGAACTTAGCAAATTTCTCGAAAGCCCCACTTTCTCCCCCCCCCCCCCCCCCGACTTTCTCAATCCCTGCTCGACGCAGACACAGGTCTGGCGCAGTGGGGTCCAGATCCCAGAATTCACACCGCAGACACAGGTCTGGCGCAGTGGGGTCAGGATCCCAGAATTCACACCGAGTGCTGGAAGTCTCCGAAAGCTGCTACATCCAGGGAGACCTCAAGTCTAGCTCACCCCACGGGGCTGGAAATTTGGGTCTCACTTTCTTGGGGGTAGAAGTTCCCTTTCTTCTCCTTCCCTTTCTCCTTCAGAGGCTGGGTTAGAAGGCCAGGCTACATACAGAGGGTGTTTGGGAAGTAAAGAATTTGGAAGGGATAGGAAAAGGGGGTGCCTGTAAGTTCACCCCTCAGCATCAGGGCTCAGAAGAAGCTGACCGCCTTTCGGAGAGAAGTGAGCCCAGCATCTGCCAGAGAGTAGGCGGGGGAAGCAGAAAAGTCCTACCCATGGAGACCTCCTGGGCTGTGCCTGTCCTCTCAGCCCTTCCTGCTTCAAAGCAGCAGAAAACATCAAATCATTATCTGACCACCCCAAGCGCTCCTGGCTTTACCTCTTGAGAGGGAAGTGATGGCTTTGGCTAGTACAGCCCCGGGCTTCAGGTAGCCATGCCAGCCGTAATTAATGATTCTAAATACTGCATTTGACCAAACCAACCTTTGAGAGTCCACACCCTTCCTGGGTTCAATCCCAGGACACAGGTCTATCATCGCGTCTGCCAGGGGTTCAGAAGTTGTGCTCATGACCCCCAGGAGATATGGGGTGCTTCCCTGCTCCTAAAATGAACCACGGGGAACATAGATAGGCATGATTTGGTTTTGTCTTTATTAGTATTAGGGGGAAAAAGAAAAAACACCGGCAGGACAAGACTACAAACACTTCCAATACTCCACAGGCCCGAGGCATCCTGAGTTCGAGGCCAGCCTGCCACCCATGATAGACAGCTTTGTCTTAAAGGGGGAGAAAGGGGCGAATTTAAATGGTACTTTGGACTTCGTTGACTTTGGTTCTGCAGGCTTGGCTGGAATGTTTTAGGTGCCACAGCTCCTGGGTTAGGGTTAGGCCCAGTGTTTGGCACACCCAGGCCAGGGGGCCTAAGACAATGCCTCAATAGCAGCCCCAGGTCGAAATGGACCTTTTGAGGTCGCGATCTCAGGCAGGCTGCGGAGGGAGGCCGGCGCCGGCGTGGAATTTCTTTATCGGGATTCGGGAGCCGCCGGCCCCTCCGCTTCTTGAAGCGATCCCAGAGAGCCACCTTTCGATCCTCGGTCAGACGTGTTGGCTCTTAATAGCTAAATTTATTTGGTTTAAAGCGGCGATGGGAGACGCGGGGAGGGGAGATCTTTCGTCGGTCATTGGGTGGCCCAGATAACAAGCTTTAAGAGAGAGAGAGAGAGGAAAGAAGAAAGTAGAAAGGTTAATGGCCGAGAGTGGGCCGCCGCCGCCGGGCGTGGGGCTTTTACAGCCACCCTCCCCGGCTGCCCCCTTATCTCCGCCGCGTAAGGAGTACATTAAGTCCCGTAAACAGCGCGCCGAGAGGGGTGCCACCTCGGTGACCCTGGGGACGGCCGCGAGCCCACCTCTGCGCGGAGCCGCCGGCGAGGTCACCCGAGGCTGCGCGCGCGCGGGGGCCGCGGGGCGAGGTCGGGGCCCCGCGGGTGGCTCCCTCTCCCACCGCCCGGCCCATCAGATCCAGGCCAAGACCGGGCAGAGCCGACCCCGGGGACCGGAGCGACCTTCGCTCTTCCGCAGTCACATGCTCGGCGTCTGCTTCGGCTTTTGTTTGTTTGTTTGTTTATGGGAAAATAAAAATAAAACGGAGGAAGGGACGGGGAGAGGTGGGGCAAAAAGAAAAGGAAAGAAGAAGGAAGCGTCGGGAAGAGAGGAGGGCGGGGGACCGCGAACGCAAGTCAGGAGCGCCCCGCTGGATGGCTGGCGTTGCGACAGGGGGACACCTGGCCCACACTAGACGGGGGACACTGGGGAGAACGAGAAGGGCCAAGGTGACCCGTGGGTGGGCGAGTGAGAGAGTTTCTAAGACGGTGAGGAACGTGCTACAATCTCGTTAAAAACGTGGAGTGTCCACTCTTTTTGGAGTGCGTGGGAATCGAACCCTCGCCCTCGGGCACTCAGTAATTTACCGGCGAGCCACAGCCTAGGCCTTGATATTTGAACTCAAAGTTCAAACCCCGTTTGAGACAGGAATTGCACGCGTGGGTCAGCCCTTCCCCCCTCCCTGAATCGCGTGAAACGACAGGTAGCGAGCTTGAGTTTGCAAGGCCAGAGGCGTGGAGGGACGGACGGGCCCAGGTCTGTCTGTGCCGACCCCGGAAGCCGCGCGCCACCGGGTCCCCAAACACCCCTTCCGTCTCAGCCGCGGAGCCCCCGCCCCCTGCCCAATTGGCTGCTGTGTTCCGGCTCGATTTGAGAGGCGGACGGCGGTGTGGCCCGGCCCAAAGAAGGGAGCCCAGGGGGCCAGGCCGCGCCCCGGAGCCGGCCCTCTCTTGGGCCTGCTCTCCCGTCTGAACGGTCGAGAGCGAGACGATTTCGTTCAGGGTTGGCAGAGGGAAGACGGGAGGCGGCGAGACAGCGAGAACTGGGGGGAAAAGAAGGGAAACGAAACAAAAGAAAAACACGGGGGGAAAGGCTCCCGGGCGCTGTCTAGGGCACGGTGGGGGTCGTCTCCAGCTCTCGGGGCTCCCCCTGGTTTAGGGGGTGCCCCCGCACCCCTGAATCAAGGAGGGCCCCGCAATGCGCCTTGCCGCAGTCGGGCGGGTCGGGGGGGGGAGCAGAGCGGGGCTGCGGGCGGCCGGGGCTCTCGCCTGGGGCCCTGGACGGGTCGACGGTTCGGCTTCCCGCTAACTGACAGGAGGAACCGTTCTCGGGGGGCCCCCCCAAAGGTGGATGCTGCGGCCTGAGAGGGAACCGGCGCACTGCCCTCCCCCTCCGGCTGGGGACTTCTGAAATGGCTGGGGACGCGGCGGGTCCCCTCCCGGGCCACTGCGGCGGGGCGCCGGACCTGTCACCCCGGGGCCACCGTGCTCCCCAGGCTCGGCTGCGCGGCCGCGGGGAGGTAGGGCGGTGGGGGCTGCAGCTGTCCCGGGGAATTCAGGCAAGATAACAGCCCCCCCCCAAAAAAAAAAGCCAACAACAACCAAAACAACCAGGGCAGGAGCCGGTCTGGCGTGCGGGCTCTGTCCCCCTCGGCCTTCAAGGCCGTTCACAGCCGGGATTTAGTTAGCGGAGACGGTTATTATTTTTAGCCAACATAAACTGCAAAAAATAAAAATAAAACTAAAAAATTGCTTTTGGGAGCAAAGTGGAGCCATTATTTCGGGACAATCGGACTGGAAGGAAAAGCGATGGCCAGGCCTTAAGGGGTGGCTTCCAAATGGACCTCGGAGGTCCCAGTCCGCTTAAAAGTAAAAATTTCGTTGGAACTTACCGAACGAGCGAGCCGAGGCGAGCGGCTGGGCGCCGCGGTGGGAGCCGGGCCGGGCGGGCCCTCGCGGTGGCTAGGAACTTCGGCTCGGCCGCGGCCGCCCGCGGGCCCGGGGGCGGCGGAGGGGGACCCCGGGGAGGGGCGCAGCGGCACCCGAGAGCTCGGGGTGACCTCGGGGCGCTGGCCAACCTCGCGGCCCCGTCCCCCGCCGGCCGCGCAGGTCGGGCCCGGGAGGGGACGCCCGCGAAGCGGCATCTCGCGCGCGAACCCGCGGCGCCCCGTGCGCTCGGCGTCCACCCCGCCGCACCTTCTCCTCTAACGAAAGTAAAACCGCGGGAGCGCGGCGCCTCGCGGGGGTCCGCGGGGAGGGCCCGCCCGGTCACCTCGGGGGCGTGGGCGCCGAAACCGTCCCCGCGGGAGCTGCCGGCCCGCGCTCGGCGCCGTCGCCGCTGGGAGGCAGCGGCCGGGGGAAGGTGTGAGCGGGGGGCGCGGGGCCGGGGCTGGGGGTGAGGCCGGGGGTGCGGGGCCGGGGCTGGGGGTCGGACTCTTCCTTCTGGGTCGGTGGCCTGCAGCCCGGCGCCGTCCCGAGCTCTGCCAAGCCACCCGGACCCAGCCTGCGTTCTGAGCCCCGGGGCCAGGGCGCGCGGACGGCACCTTCCCCGGCCGCGGCGCCCCCGACGGGGTCGGGAAGGCCCAGGGCGGCCAGCACCCCGGGAGGAGGAGCTGCGCGTCCCCCGCCGGCTTCGGGGCGCCCTGACCTGGAGGGTCACAGCGGCGCGGCCAGCTCCTCCCGGCCTGCTTCCCTCCCCCTTCTGCCGTGTGTGTGTGTGTGTGTGTGTGTGTGTGCGCGCGCGCGCGCGCGCGCGCGTGTGTGAGATGTATGATCTGGTGTGTGTATGTGTGGTGTGATGTGGTGTGTGTGGTGTGTGTGTGTGTGTGTGATGTGTTGTGTGTGATGTGTGTATGTGTGTGATCTGGTGTGTTGTGTGTGTGTTGTGTGTGTATGTGTGTATATGTGTGGTGTGTGTGGTGTGGTGTGTGTGTGTGGTGTGGTGTGTGTGTGTATATGCATGCTGTGCGCCTGTGTGTGTATCCCGGCACCGAGGGGGGATGTGCCCCACGTACGTGCGGTGGTCTGGCGAGGCCGCACCCCGGGTCCCGGAGCGGGGCGCCCCTGGGCCGACTCTGGGCGCTGGGGACCGGGCGAGCTGCCCACGCCCCCGGGCCTCCCGGGCGCTCCCCTCCCCCGCCCCGCCCTCCCCCCGCCCCTCCGGCCTCTCCCCTCCTCCTCGGCCCCTCCCCCTTCCCTTCACCTCGGCACCGGCCGCGGCGGCGGCAGTCCCGACCCACAGCCTGGCACTCCGGCGGGCGCCGTGCGCCGCGCCCGAGTCCAATCAGCAGCGCGGGCCGCGGCTTTCCGGCCGCCAGGCGCCTCCTCCGCTCTTATTCCCGGCCGCGCCGCGCCGCCCGGACTCCCCGCGCCCGGCTCCTCCGCCCGCGCCGCGCTCCTCCGCCCGGATCCCCGCCGCCGAGGTTCGCCCTCCGCCCGGATCCCCGCCCGCGCCGCGCTCCTCCGCCCGGATCCCCGCCGCCGAGGTTCGCCCTCCGCCTTTGTCCGCCTCCCGCTCCCGCCGGCCGCCCCCTCCGGGGACCCCGCGCTCCGGGACCCCGGGCCGGCCCCCGCCCCCTCCCCAGGGCGTCTCTGGCGCGGCCTTATCTCGGGCGATCTCGGCGCCCAGGGTGGGCGGCCGCGGGCACGCACCTCTGCGCCGGCCGCGCGTGGGCATCCCTCTCCGCGCGGAGCCGGCGCCGGCCGGGAGGCCCTGTCACCCCCCGCTGTCCCCGAGGGCGGCCTCCCCCTCCCGGGCTCTGCGCGCCGCTCCACCCAGCGGGGTCCGGGACGCTCCGGCCTGTCCGCGCGCGCTGGGGGGACCGTGGGGAGGACGGTGGGGGGACCGTGGCGGGGACGGTGGGGAGACGGTGGGTGGGCCCGGGCTGGCCGCTCGGCGTGTAAGGTGCGCTCGGCCGGCCGCGGCGGGGCGCGTGGCCCAGGCCCCGGCGCCTGTCCCGGCGCCCGCCCGCCCCGGGCCGGTGGCCTTTCCTCCGCGGCGCGGTGCGAGTCTGGCCGGGAGGGCCGGGAGGGCCAGCAGAGGCGGCGCTTTCGTTTTCGGGGACAGGTTGCTGCTTTTGTTTTTGTTTTGTTTTATCCACGCGCGGGAGTCGCCCTCGCGGGGTCGTCCCCACCGAGGGGCGGGAGGCGGCGGCCCCGACACGCGTCCCTAAGTCCTCGGGTGTCCGGGGCGCGCAGCCTTGCCAAGCAGGGACGGGAGGGGCCCCGGCCGGCCCCGCGCCCGCTCCCTGGAGGAAGGATGCTCGGGAGGGGTGGGGCGGGAGGGCGCGGGGTCACGCGTCCCGGGGGTGGGGGGGACTCGTAGTCGCGCCAAGGGGCCCTAGCCGAGGCGGGGTCCCCGAGGGGTGCCAGCCGTGGCGGGGAGGGCGGGGGTGAGCGGCCGGCCCGATCCTGACGTGTCTCCCCGTCTCGCCCTGCAGCCTCGAACCCGGACCCGAGCGAGCCAGGCCGCAGCCGCGCCGGACGGTGGATGGCCCTGACTGACGGCGGCTGGTGCCCGGCCAAGCGTTTCGGGGCCTCCTCCGCCGCGGACGCCGGCGACCCCGGGGCCTTCCCGGCGGCGGCGGCGCGGGAGCCGTCCTCGCCGCCCTCCCCCGGCTCGTCGCCGTCGCCGTCGTCCTCCTGCTCCCGGGGCGGAGGGGAGCGCGCCGCGGACGCCGCCCCCGAGGCGGTGGCGGGGCCCCCGGGCCGCCCGCTCCTGCTGGGCGCCTACGCCTCCCCGCACCCGTTCCCGCCGGCGCCCGGGGTGGCCGGGCCGGGGGCCGCCCTGCCGGCCTGGGACGACCTGCTGCTGTTCGCCGACCTGGACCAGGCGGCCGCCACGGCCGGCAAGCTGCTGTGGTCGGGCCGGGGCGCCAAGCTCGGCCCGTTCGCGCCCGAGCAGCCCGAGGACATGTACCCGACGCTGGCGGCGCTGGCCAGCCCGGGCCCCCCGGCCGCCTACGACGGCGCGCCCGGCGGCTTCGTGCCCTCGCCGCCCGTCTACGTGCCCACGACGCGCGTGGGCTCCGTGCTGCCCGGCCTGCCCTACCTGCAGGGGGCGGCCGGCGGCCCCGGCGGGCACGCGGGGGGCGCGGCCGCCCACCACCCCG